AACACATACAAAGCAGAACACAGCTTAATGTATCAAAAGTATGTCTATGTAATATTAAAATTTTCTGAGACAATGAATTTTGGTTTTTCATTTTTTTCCCCAGTAAAGAGGTTTTTATTTTATAGAATTTTTGGACCAAAAATATTGCAATATATCGCCTTGTTTACAGTATCGCAATATATCGGGATATATCGTATCGTGACCCCTCTGTCATGATATGTATCGTATCGCCAAATTCTTGCCAATACACAGCCCTAATACGTACTCTAGATAGTCAGGGTTTTTTCGTACTTTGTCTCCAGCAGAACCATTCTGAAAACTAAACCACTCTTAGCAGCAACACACCTGGAGGACCTCCATTCTGTGGTCTCTTCTTCTCAGGTACATCAGAAGTGATCGTCTCAGACGTTGACATTTGTACATTATTTATCCTTTGTGGAAACTGTCTCTAAAAGATTGCATTTGAGYTAAAAACAGTCTCACTCCCTTCTTAACACGTAGTTAGGGGAATGGGCTTTCTGCCAAGAGRGCGTTGGATGTTAATTGGCCAAGATTGCATGACTCCCGGAGCCAATAGCGTAAGAGCGTAAAGATCAAAGACGAGACGAAGGGACGCGATGAGAAAATCTGTCCYTGTTCCTCCCTTTGGCTGAGTCTTCTTCATTTCCAACCGCAAAGTATTTCCCTGACACGGAAATACTGACTTGTATGTAATTATGAGGTTACGCTCCCCCACAGCACTCCGTCATTCCAAGTACCAACACCTGCCATTATTTATTCATTGTTATTCCTCCACCAGAAAATACACTATAATTAGATATTGATTACATAGTCAATGTGATGAATTAAGCAAAATGCCCCCCAACGTCTCCATTTGCTATACATGGTATCGAATCCCTTGCATAAATCTTGTATGAAATGTTGCGTTTAGCGAGGTTTTATCTTTGTTTTTGTTTCACGTTTCCGCTCATCATCATCATCGTCACAAACCTACAGGTTCATGAAAATACGAGAATTACATACAAATCTCCAGTGTCCTGAAAAACMAGTCTTTGGACGATCATCCATGTCAGCCCTGCCCTGATGTACTGTATTTGACTTGATGATTTGAGTCATTCCGGACGTGTTCGTGTTTCCAGTTGTGTGTGTCAACAATCACATAGCCCTCCACCTCCCACCCCTCCTTTAGACAATCTGAGTGCCTCACACAAGGACACATGAATAACTCCTGGTTTCTCTCAATTGCACGCAGTACGGCCGAACTCCTCYTCCCTAGGTGTCGCAAACCGAAAAAAAGGTAGGCATCTAAGATCACGCAGCAGTTGTGTCTTTTCCACAGATCGGTTTACGGCAAGCTCTTGAACACTGGCTCTTTGGAAGCTAAAGTTCTGGAGGGGTTTTTGTTTTCTCTTCTCCTAGACGAGCTAGAAAACCTTTGTTTTGTTTCRGATGAAAGGTTATGAGTAGGTGTCCTAATGCATCAACGTAATCCAGGTAGAAAAAATCAAAAAGAAAAAAATCAGTAGGTCCTCTGGACGGGTTCTTCTTTAGTGAAACGTTTCGTRTCTCCTCCAAGAGACTTCTTCAGTCTGAGTTTCAGGTGAACTCAGCCTTATAAGCTCCGCCTCCACATGGACAAACAGGTTAGTCACATGCAAAAGAGGGCCATCGACTAACAATAGGCTTGATTAGCTCTATTGTTCATAGAGGGTCATGTGATCCATCACCTGACTTATTGGTTTGGATGCTGTGGTTCTTAGGTGTCGTGTCATGTGTATGTAGTTAATGCAGGCGGGGCTCAAAGTCCCCTTGTTTTTGTTTCTATTTCCCTCTTTGTGTTGGTATCATTGGGGCCCTGATTCACACCTTTTGCTCACAGGGGGCGGAGTCATACTTGCAATAACAGCGTTGTAGGAGAAGGACAACTGGACATGAAGGCCTCCACCTCTGTTTAATGGTGGACGGTTTTTCTTCACAAAGATCCTTTACTCCTCTC